GATGGATGGATGGATGGATGGATGGATGGATGGATGGATGGATGGATATTTGCCCTATGACTTCTGGGATAGGCTAAGCTCCCCCACCCCTGGCAACCCTATATATAATGTGAATTACATTTCTGCTAAATTTAAACACCTATATCAGCGTCTCAATATTTCAGAGTCAAAGCTACACATAATCCACTATGGTGGTCCTACTAATACATGTCAACATGGCTGATCCTTATGGTGAACGCAGGGTTATTTTTGGTTGCATATGACAATAAAGTAACCGGGTTAGTTTATAGTTCAGTTTGTTTGTCTTGTTTGGCAAAGCTCACCCTTGTTGTTAGACACTATTTTGCATTGGTTTAGATCATTGCAAGTGATTGCACACTTTGTAGAATCCCTGCCATAAATAACAGTTTCAACCTTAACAGTTTGTACTATGTTTCTTTTCTTTTACACTTGGATGTAGTATTGCAAAATACAGTAACTGTATAATTATTTTGTTGTTATGGTTCTTTGTACACCCTGGTAGTGTTTTTGGCTTATTTGCAGGAGATTTGTATCACACATGTTTTTAACTTGTTTAGAACATGTAACGTGTTTAAACACAGCAGAAGTTAGAAAGTTGTGCTGTTAATTGATTCCTTAATAACCTTGTGCATTATTCATGAAGTATTGTTAGCTCTTTTATTCAGGTGAGTTATTTGAAAAAAGAAGACTTTCTCTTAAAAAATTTTTTTTTTTAAGATTGTAAAAATGATCAAATAAGCTAAAAATCAATCATGTCCCTGGTTTATGCAGCAATATTCCAGTAGTATTTGTAAATTCTGGAAAGCGCACTAGTTTAGAAAACTTACATTTTCTGAGAAGACAAGCACCTTGGTGAAGAAGACACAGTGAATTCCCGTGCCATCTTGGTCTTGGTTCCTGATCGGCCTTTCTTCTCTTCACCAGAGCTGTTATTCAGCTTTGTTGCCAATCTAAATAATGGTTTGAAAAAAAGGCATTATTCATGCTTTTTTAAATGGTTTAATTTTCTATCACAATCCTTATATCACAATATGAAAATGCGGTTTTCCTGGAACATAGAGTTTTTAGTAATTGAAACACTTTTATCTTAAGCCAGTATCTATAAAAGAACACTTATCAAAAAGATACAGCTGTAACAGCTCTTTGTAGATGTAGTTATCAATTAAATACCTCCTCTGTGATAAATCATTTGGGGATATTTTTACTTGTGGCCCTGTGATGGACTAGCGACCTGTCCAGAGTGTAGCTTGTCTATTGCCCAATGACAGCTGAGATAGGCTCCAGCTCCCACCCCACTTTAACCTTGCTAGGAATAAGCGGTATGGACAAGGAATACATTTGAAAAAAAATGGAAGTCTTTGCTTTGCAATCAGGAAACTGATAATAAAAAATAGTCTTTCTGATAGTCAAAACTCATGCTGTTCTTACAAATGGTTTAATTTTCTATCACAATCCTTATATCACAATATGAAAATGCGGTTTTCCTGGAACATAGAGTTTTTAGTAATTGAAACACTTTTATCTTAAGCCAGTATCTATAAAAGAACACTTATCAAAAAGATACAGCTGTAACAGCTCTTTGTAGATGTAGTTATCAATTAAATACCTCCTCTGTGATAAATCATTTGGGGATATTTTTACTGTACTTTTCTCACAGCCATGTATGTGAAAATTGAACAGAAAGTGTTTCCAGACAGTGAAGAATTTATTGTACTCATATCACTGTGTAATAAAAAAATAATAGCACTGGAATGCGTGTATTATGACAACTATCTCTTTAAAATACATCACTGAAGGCAGACACAATGAACAGATTTGCAGAAAGCTTGTCATCAGTGTCCTTTGAAGCTCGTTTTCAGTAAAAGATTATTCCTGACAAACATACACCAAACACCTAAATGATATTTCAGAGTAACACCTCTGATAGGAATGATCACATACCCACATGTAGACAGCAGACCAAGATTCCTCCATCTCAGACATGGCACATATTTCTTCTCCACAAGTGCCTGGCTGTCTGTATACTGTTGTATACATTGTTCTTGTACATTCTTTTCCTGTTGCTCGTGAGACATTTGGGGTGGGCCTTGTTCCTGCCCATCAACCAGTTCCACTTGCTGATTTATCTGTGTTGACGGAGGTTCCTGGACAACGAAAACATGTTGGTAAGCATAGACATTCAGAGACTGAAGGGTAAAGAGGAAGACCTATTTCAACTTGCAAAACATTAAAAAGAATACATCCATCATGTTCGGAACCCAAAGGGACCGAGTGCCTTTCTGTGGGGTGTTTGCATGACTCTCCCACTGTCCAAAAATATGCAGGTTAGGTTAACTGACGACTCTGTCAATAGTAATTGTGAATGGACGTGGTTGCTTGTCTATTTGTGGCCCTGTGATGGACTAGCGACCTGTCCAGAGTGTAGCTTGTCTATTGCCCAATGACAGCTGAGATAGGCTCCAGCTCCCACCCCACTTTAACCTTGCTAGGAATAAGCGGTATGGACAAGGAATACATTTGAAAAAAAATGGAAGTCTTTGCTTTGCAATCAGGAAACTGATAATAAAAAATAGTCTTTCTGATAGTCAAAACTCATGCTGTTCTTACAAATCAAATGGCAATCTTAATGTCTCACTGCGATGATAAACATGGTCACGTACATTTCAAAGCAAAAGTTTAAAGCACCATGGCTCTGTAAATATCATAGACAGATTCAATTAAAATTTACAGGACAGTGCACATTACACAATGAAATGAGAGTAAGTCAAGTCTCTAAGAATGATTTGTGCACCTAAATACTCTTTCGCCATTATTCTAAAGCAGCTTTCCTTGATTTTAGATTATTCAAACTTTAGGCATCAGCTAGGATAGACTCCATTGAGGAAGAGACAGGTCATTAGTCCATCACAGCGACCTTATGACGAACAACCATGCACACACAATCACTCCTAAAGGCAATTTAGATTTTTCCAGTAATTAAACATGTTTTGGACCATGGGAAAAATCCAAGTACCCAAAGAGAACCCATGAATACATGGTGAGAACATGCAAAGTTCACTCAGAAAAGCCCCAAGTCTCTGGGAACTTCCCTCTTACTATGAAGCAACTGAGTTTACTACCACACAGTGTATCATTCATTCATTTTTGTTAGTATGTAACACAGCAATTGGTGTACACAATATATCTATACGGTGTATACTTGCATCTCTAATATTTTTAGATGAAAAATTACCTTCTCTTTCTTGAAGTGATCACTCTTACTGTTTGATTTGTGTTTGGTTGCACTGTGTTGAAGAATTTCTGATACAGCACAACACTCCTTGTTCCAAAATCAAAACATGAACTAATACAACACATAAATAAACTCATATTTCACCTTTAGAGTAAAACAAAATAAACAAATTCCACAGTGCATTCCTTATTCCTTTTGTTTTCTTAGCCTTGTTTGTTTTTTTTTGCCCAAACCATATCTATTATAACCTGAATGCAAAGTACACTTCCTATTTTAGAATCTTAAAAACATAAATTTTAACAACCAAGAGGTTAATGTTGATCTTAATTGCATCTGCCTGAATTCTACGGTACCTTCTGTTTTATGTTGTCAGCAAAATATGGTGATCCGCTCTTCAGAAGTGTCATTAGATCTTTGTAGATATCACTTACTCGCTCATAACAATTCTCATCTCCCTCGTGTTTTTTGCCCTTTAAGAAAAATAAAACAAATTCATTTTGAAAAAAACACAATCATAATGTGGCCCACGAGTCAGTTGGAATACCTGAGGCTCATAGTGTCTCCAGTCAGCCTCAGAGGAAGTTAAAACAATGTAAACTATTAAATTAGATACAAGACAATGTTTTAAGTTTAATTTGCATTAGTGTCCCTAATTCAGTAAGAACGTAACTTTTTTGCACTTTTTTGAGCATTTTTTATTTTGCCCAAATAATTTCCAGGAGAAGAAACAGTGACAGGAAACTTAAGTTTCCTCAGAAAAGTGACTAAAAGAGTGAAAGGTGCCTTTGTATGAAAGATCTCTCTTGAAAATTACTGAGCGCAATTAATGAAATTTCAGATATTGGATTAATATCCAATTACATGTAACTATTTACATAATACATATATTCTAGAAAGGACTTGGACTTCTAATATAGTTGGTATGTTATATCTCAATCGTTAATCATCAACTAAATTGGTCAAAAACTGAAAACTGGAAGATGGTAACTGTAATTGCAACAAAGAGTCCAAAGAGAGAGATTACAGTAGAAATTGATTGAATCTTCACGTGTCATAGTTAAATATGCAACCCCATTCGTAAATTTTGATAGTCCCTCCCATCCTTTGCAAACAGAACTGAATGACTGTTTTCAATCACATCAAGATTAAATTTTATTCATTGCAACAACAGAGCATATAACAACTATGAGTAATTGTTAATCTAGAAGGGCATGTCCCCAACAAATTTAGCTGTGTTTCTGCATATGTCTTATAGGGTTAGTCCTTTACAGGTTCAGGTAAAATGTATGATTCGCAAAAGGAGGGGACTCAAAGGACGTGTCAATCCGTTTAAAGGCTTGACCTTTATACACTGACATTTTCCCAATACTTCTTGTATCTTTAATTAATTTAAAGACTAAAGTTCTTCATATGCTTTTTACTTTAACTGATCTGATTTCCTTACAGATTAATTATTTTTGCATAAAGGGTGTCACAAGATGTTCTTTCCTAGAAAGACTAATTGTTTGGTAGATATTCATTGACATGATTGGTCATTGTCATTGTCCGATCTTTTCTTGACAGTGTGAACAACACAGATCTGATTTTTTCCAGTGCAACCGGGCCACTTGGATATGTGGTCATAAATCCCATTCATATCTGATCTTTTCAAATGTGACCTGTGTCTGTATTTTTGCATTCATCTTACCAGCATGTCCTTGATACTCGACAAAAGCCTGCGTCCTTTTTATCTTTTTTGTTAGCATTTCTTAAGAAGTGGCTGAGCATGGGTATAAACATTCGTGGCTCCAAAGCCAAATAAAAAAAGAGCCTCCAGGACAAATATAAGAAGACTGCTTAGTGCTTGATGGGCCGCATGCACTGAGCACATGTGACATTATTGCATCCTCTAGTTGCATGCTGGCAACTTTTAGGTTCACTTAATAGTTCACACTGGAGTCGCATTGATTTGGAAACTTGAAGAATAGATTTCACACAAAATCAGATTGAGTTACAAGCTGCCGTGTGAACACAGCCTTACAATAAGGTTGTTTAATTTTGATCTCTTCATGTACATCCTCTGTTTCTTGTCTGTGCTCTTTTGTACTCTAAAGATGTTAATTGTTTAATTATTTTCTTTAAGGAAACTATTTTTATTTCTGCTGTTTTTGTAAAAATTATCTTTTTCTCCAAAGAGAAAAAATAAACCAGCCCAAAAGATAATAAAGAGGTAAAAAGAAAGATATTTTAAAACAAAGAATTTTAGAATCGTCCCATCACTGCAACCAAAAAACGAATGTATCTGCTAAAAAAAAAGTTGTATTATAGTATATTAAAATAATATGCTAACTAATATAGTGCATTGTTTTTCTTTTTCATAGTCTTACCTCATTAAGAAAAACACCAACTGTGCTGCAGGTGATATAGAGGGTCTCAGTGTCACATGGCTCAATCACAAGGTAGAAAATCTCACCATGTACCTGTCTCCATGGAGGAGCACGACACCCATTGGAAAATTCAAAATCTAAAAAGGAAAATGAAAAAAATATCCAGCATCAAACATAAAGATGAACTCTACAGCAATATGAAGTGAAAGGAAAATTAAGTTTCATCAAACATCTGGTGAGCTGCAAAGGGTAAAATAGGTCTCCAAAGAGACATAAGCCCAAGGTTGGACAACACATCATTTTTTTTTTTTTTATTTTTTATTTATTTTTTTTTTACAACACTTTAATTTCTAATATAAAACATGAACCACACATGACACCATCATTGTAGCAAAGCATACCAAAGCAGGTTTGTGGAGTATTTTCTTAGAAGGTATTAATTCACCTAGAGAAAAGGAGAGCATAAACTCTATTCATCACATGATTGTCCATGCCAGTTCATGCTTTGTCTGGGTATGATAAATACACTACAGTGGAACAAAAATCATTATGATTTGGTCAACCGTAATCTGACAGATATAATGGCTTCCATAATGGTTAAGGTGGCAGAGTCTTTATGCTTTGGATTAGCCAATATTAGACCTTCCATTACTGTTGATAGCAATTGCTTTCCTTGCAATAAAATGTGAAGATAATTCAAACCTGATGTGTATCGAAGTGACTTCAACATTCTGTTTTCTCCTTCACAACAGAACTGTTTCAACAATCCCACTTCATTCTTCACGGCGGTGGCATCAAGTATGACTTGCCTATTGCAAAAATGAATGTGTGAAAATATACATATATTGTCTATTTAAATCAGAGATAACAGCAAAACTATGTTGAAACCGATCCATGGGGATTGGTCTAAAAAGGTAACGCAAAACTGAAAAGTACTGACGACTCTGAAAATGTTTGTGAGATATAAGTGGGAAACTTACTCTGAAATTTCTCCAAGAAGCTGGTCAAGTATCTGTTTATCTGTGTTTTGGAGCATGAAATACAGCTTGTATTTTACATCCATGTCCATGGCGAAGCCTTTTTCTGCTTCATCTTTAAGGCTTAGAGAGTCAAGGTGGATTTCCTCTCCGTCCAACTTAGAGGCAAAGCTTGAACCGAGAATCTTAGCAATGGGGTCTCTATTTTCTGAACAACAGAAAAGATTGCCTTTAACCATTCACAATTTCATGATTACGAATTTGATTTATTTTAATATTTTATATTTAGGCCATAGTTGGCCTAAACGTTACCCTGTGTAGAGTAAAAACTGTACTTTTTCTACACTTGCACTGCACTTAAACTTAAACTAACGTTCACTTTCTAGAAAATGGAAAATGATATCCATCTGTCCATCCGTTTTCGTAACCACTAATTCCCTGATGGGATCGCAGGGGAACTGGAGCCTAACCCAGTAGTCAATGGGTCAGAGGCAGGGTACACCCTGGACGGTCTGCCAGTCCATCACATGGCCAAGGATATACAATTATATTTCTACATTTATCACATTCATGTCTCAGGAAAATATTGTGTAAATTACAGCGACTCTTTTGGCAGTACCCCCAAAATAATCTGTACAGAACTGCCACTGTCAGCACAACTGGATAAATTGTAAAAGAAATAATGAAGACAAACAAATTAAGACTGGGTTATGATGGCTCGATTTCTTAGGGTGTACATGATTGTTACCTTCTAGACATGTTTTAACCTCTGCCAGCTTCTTCTCATCTGCCAGATGCACAAGCTTAGAGAGTTGGTTGAAATTGCGTACATAAACATTAGGCAGGGAAAGTTGCAACAGAGGCTGCCCTTCACTGTCTTTTTCGTAGGACTTTACCACTGAGTTACTGTAGGGAAAGATAAACATATCAGTCAGAATCAAGCCAAGTATCTCATATTCATGTCTCAGGCAAAAAGAATAAAAATCAGGACCTCTTAAAATATAAATGTTACTTTAAATGTTATCTGGGTCCAATAAATTTGGTGTATTGTGAGGAACTATGAGGAAAAAATGTATCTCACCTACTTTAAAAAAACTCCCTAAACATTGCAGTTTTTAAGACATCCCTCCATTTTCTATATCGGCTCTCAAAACATGCTCGAGGGGGGACTGGAGCCTATCCCGGCTGAAAACAGGCGGGGCGTGAGTCACTCACACCTAAGGGCAATTTTGAGTGTCCAATCAACCTAATGTGCAATTTTTTGGAGGGTCGGGGGAAGTCGGTTTACCCGGAAAGAACCAACACGGACACATGGAGAACATTCAAATTTCAGACAGAAAGGTGTGGGGAAGAACCAGGAACCCTCTTGCAACAGTGCTAACCACCACACTACCGTGCTGCCTGCTTTTAAGACATGCAAGAAAAAAATAATTGAATACAAATTGTTTCTGCTTTTCATGCAACTAAAACTATAAGACAAATTAACCACAGCTCAATGTTTTGAAGAAAGTTATGAGAAAACAGATATGTACGTATCTTTTACAGACAGAGAACATTACTGGTAAGCCCACATTGTGCTTCATTATCAAACCAACCTGATATCATAGTCTTCTTTGAAATCAGATGGGACTAAATTAGTGTTCCACTGGAGTGGCTGCTCAAACATATGCTCTGCCTCCTGTGGGTGTTTGGAACTGAACTGCTCCACAAAGCACAGGATTTTTTTCAACAACGACTCATTTAGTGGTGTGGATTCCAGTTTGCTTGAACCAGAGCTGGTCGTGGTCCACTGGGCTGCCCTGGTCAGTGACACCCCCATGATACAGCGTGTAATGCTCTAAGAAGCAGTAATAAACAGCATGTTAGACGAGTTGTTAAAAAGCATTCAGCTTGAATTCAACATTAAATGTCACAATAACATTGCTAAGTTCAACTTTCTCACTGATGACTAGCTTTTAGTGTAGTTCAAACAAAACATGTGGCATAATGGCTTTTCATGTAAACAAATTAGGAAACATTATTAAATCAATATTATCCACATTTTGGTTCACAACTACTTGTTCACATAAATTAGAACTATACCCAATTAAAAGAAAAGTTAAGATTGTCAGAAGATTAAGATTAAGGTTATTAAGGTTTGATTCGATATTTTTGCAAGTAGCCTATGGGTCGATTGCTTAAGATGGTAAGAAAGATCCATGTTGATCCATGTTTAAAGACCATACAACAATATGCTCGGAGGCAGAAAAGTAGAGTAAGCTTTCTGAAAACAACTTTAAAGTTACTCTTTGAGTATTTCTAAAATATTTCAGGATTGTTTGTGGAACGTTAGCAATGTCATTCAGAATTATAATGGGATGACAGCAAAAGTTAACTGAAGCAAAAACGTCTTCAACTAACTTTTAAAGCACAGCATTAGGCATCGTTGGTGAAACATTACAAATTTAAGGTTAACATGAATAAAATTACGTTAAGCCATCCATCATTAATTTGGGAAATGGAAAGTTTTTGACTACTTGAATCTAAAATGTCATTTAAGTCCGCCTTACCGTGTTTTTAAACTTCCCTTCCAAGAATTACTGGTGGGTTGTTGTGAACGGTGTCCATGGTAACCACACTAAGCGCTATCTCACGCCCGCTTTTTTGTTGCTATGGTGCAGCTAAACAGGAAGGGGGCAGGTAATTAAATAAGCAGGCCCTAAATATATATTTTTTTATTCAATATGTCTTCGGGAACCGAAAAATAGAAATACCATAATACATAGCTGCTGTGTCCCGAAAAAAGCTGAACGATTTGATACCTTTCTTGTTGGTCTATGTTGAAGTGGTTAAGCACAGAAAAACGTACCCAGAATCTAAAAATGACAAAACAGGATAGTGTGAATGTCTTAACTGTATTCTTACAATTAGAAAGCATTCTTGATGTACAATAGTGCTGTATACGATGGCTTGAGGCAATAGAACTATAATACATATTTGACCTGGAGAGTCTGAGATGAATTTCAAAGGAGAAAAAAAGAGGAGGAAATATGGATGGAAGACAGAGAGAAAGCAGGGAAGAAAAGCAGGATAAACTTACATCTTGATATACCTAGCCCAGGTCTCATTAGGCAGACTAATTGCTGTTTGTAAAAGGAATTAAATCAAACAGTCTCCACAGACTTAGTATTGTACTTAGGAAAACAAATATTCAATGCAATCAGAAGCACCTGCTTTCTTTTAAAAGATGTGTGACTAAAATGTAATATAGTATAATAAACACAGCTACTCTCAGTGCTATATATTTACTGCAAGAGTTCAGTCATTGACTAAGGGCAAGACAATTTACTAATGATATACACAAAAAGTGCGTGCAGGCTGGCTTTTTCAGATATGAACATCATGATTACATCTGTTCTCACTGTGTCCCACACTCCAATAACACTCCAATTAAATATACACTGAAAAATAGCATGTATAGCTAAAGTGATGATGAGAGGGCGTGTAGACTACTGGCTAGGCTAAGGCTGAGAAGCATGTCTACAATGTTTCCTTTTCTTTTTTAACTATAGATGATATTCTCCAAAAGCTCAGATGTTTTTCAGGCTCCATGTCAACTCAAGTTCAGCAAAGCTCAAGGCTATGTGGTAAAAACATAGAAATAAAGAGGTGACACTGATCATTGTAAGGATCACCTATGAGATGTATTTTACTAATCTATTAGTTTCAAATAGAAATTAGTTATACATTCAGTACTGTAGCAAGAGTACCAAATATCTGATTCGAACAGTTTGAGAGGATTGGACAGGACCAAAACATGGCTGGACACACTTGGCCAATTTTGCCCAATAGTTGAATGAATCATTGCCATTCTAACATTTGTGTAGTTTACTCTTTACAAAAACTGACATTAAATTAAATTGTGTAATGAATTTGATTCCACTTACTATATGGCACCCTTCTCCCTATTTCCATGTCCAAGATATTGTGCCAAATATGAACATTTTCAATCCAACTGCTGGTTAAAGCAGTCTATTATAAACCAGTCTGTTCTTAAATGTAATTCAAACTCTACACCAGTGATTCTTAAAGTGGGGAGTCGCGAGCCAGAGAGGTGGGGTCGCAAGTTAAACACATTTATGGTGGGGGTTCGCAAGTCACTTGCATTGTTACTTTGGGGGTCTTGGGCTGAAAGTTTTGGGAACCCCTGCTCTACACAATAGATAAGAAAGACAGTCAGAAATTTGATGGATTTATAGACAGCAGAGATTTCAGAACCATTTTTCATTTTGAAACCATGGCAACAGAATGCAAATGTAAACACAATGTTTTGTGCATTTTATGTTTATGTTCAGGTTAAAATAACATAATGTTAATTATATATTTATCTTGTTTGGGCATGATATTTCCTTTCCCCCCATGTTTAAGACAAACATAAAGTAAACAAATCAAACTATTAATCCCATCCTGCATCACCTGAGTTTAAAATTAATCTTCTGGTTTAGGAAGTGCAAACAAAAGTTTGACTTCTAGAATATATAATTACTTAAGTGTTACTGCACAGTGATGTGTTAAGCAAGGAACCTAAATCTACAGGGAAACGGTAAAATGTATTCAACTCTGAAATACCCAATGTGCTTATGGCAAGTCCTTTGCATGAGACTCAAATTTGTAGATTTAAAATTGAAAAACACTTTTATATTAATGAATGTTTGTTTTTCACCAAACTTGGTGCTAGTACTAGAAAAATTAAAGGAAATATTGTAAATATCTCTTTCTTAGTATGGGACTTTTTTAGTAATCTACAATAAAGTGCTTGTATATATTTATGTAGTGTCAATGGGCACAGCCAAATCATGAGTTATGTCTTACTGATAACTACTTACTTCTAAGATGACGCCTTCTGGGAAAAAAATGTCAGAACATATGGAGTTATACCACAAGATAATTAAATTCAAGAACTTTTCAAATCAAATATTTTTTAGAACAAGTTTGCAATTGACCAGGAGAAGGCAGTCACAGGGTGTGCTCTTCAGTTAGCAGTTAGCAGAAGACTACACAACAAATATTTTTTTATTTATTGCATGTAATCAAATTATAGATATCCAAAAAGGATTTCTGTTTTTTTGTCATATTTTGTCAAATGCTTTTGTCACATAAAGACTTCACAGTCCTCCATGCACACTCACTCGCTCCTTCACTCACTCACTCACTCGCTTGCTTGCTCGCTCACTCACTCACTACCCCCCCCTTCCTTCTCCCTTTAGCACCACAATGTCGAATACTGAGATGTAGTTAAAATGGTAGGGGAATGGGGCAATGCCCTTTCACAACCAGAGGCCCTCAGTGTCAGTGCCTTGTAGAACCGGCTTTGTGGTCCCTGTTTCGGCAATTACTGTATAGTAGTTGCCCAACAGCCCTGTGCGTCGTGTAAATGTGTGATATGTGATAGGGACTGAAGTGTGATTAAGACTGAGAGGTAGCTGTGGCAAAGTTCTGCTTCACCCACCTCGCAGATTACATGTCCCACCCAAAAACTTGACCATCTGTGGGTGAATGTTGTGAAAGGGAGCCAGAGAGGAGAGGGGTTTGGGGATTTGCAAGTCCAGCAGAGGAGTCTCTCTCCTGTACTTGCAAATCCCCACACCCCTCTTACGGATGGTGAGGCTGAGCATCCAGAAAAAGGCACCCACCATTCCCTGGCAGCCGCTAGGTAGGAGGGCCAAAAGCCCATCCAGCCTTTGGTGGATGTTACAACAACCAAGGAGCCACGAAAGCCCCCTGAACCCTTGAAAGCACCAACCGGGCTGACCAAGAGTTGTCTGGCGATAAGAAGGGGGAAAGAAGAAAAAAAATGTCATCACTGAGCGCAACCTAGGGGCCCAGTTCTTGCCACCACACTATTTTGAGAGATCCTGCGGACCCAACAGAGACCTCAGAACACCCAGCCCATTTGTGGGTTCACACACTGAACCCACAAATGTGCTGGCAATCCCATGGCAGCCCATGGCAGCCCACCTGGGCTACAGCTAACCGGGCCTCCACCACCTGGGCTACAGCTAAC